AGCTCTTGGAGGATTGAGTGATTTGTTCTGTGTTCCGTCCATGAGATCCGAAGCATTCTTCTCCAGCACCACATTTCAAAAGCGTCAATCCTTTTTCTGTCGTCCGATTTGATTGTCCATGTTTCGGATCCGTAACTAAATATGGGAAAAATTAATGCACGTACTAATCTTATTTTGGTGTTCTTCGACAAGGCGCGATCTTTCCAGATTTTTGATAATCGACTCATAGCGTTTTTAGCCATGCCTATTCTCCTACGTATTTCTGTTTCACAAGATCCTGTATTATTGATGTAGGATCCTAGATAATTGAACTCGTTAACCACTTCAAACTGGTCCAAGGCTCCTGTTGTCTGAAGTGAATTTGAATAGTCTACTATCATAATTTTTGTTTTTTGTTTATTGATCTTGAGACCACATCTATTGCTTTCGACTTCCACTAGCTGCAGCAGGCTGGACATTTCTTCTTCGGATGCAGTTATTAATGTTGTATCATCTGCATATCTGAGATTTGAGATCTTTTTTCCTGCTATAGAAATACCGCCATTCCATTTGTCGAGTGCTTTTCTCATTATATATTCCCCATAGAAATTAAAAAGACTTGGAGATAGAATACATCCTTGTCGGACTCCTCTGCCTATTTTAAAAGGATCGGACTTATGATTTTCAATTCTTATTCTGGTTTCACTGTTCTCATATAGACTTTTCACCAGAGCTGACAGATGATCAGGAACCCCCATCTCATGTAGAACTTTCCACAAAACTGTCCAGTTTACACAGTCAAATGCCTTCTGATAATCCAGAAAGCAGATGATCATCGGAATTTTGAATTCTCGTGCTTTCTCAATGAGTTGTCGCATATTAAGAATTTGCTCCCTTGTGCCTTTACCCTTAACGAAGCCTGCCTGTTCTTGTGGTATTTGTCTATCCAGGTATGTCTGCATGCGACACTTGATAATTCTCAACAGAATTTTACTTGGGTGTGAAATTAGTGAAATTGTTCGGTAGTTACTACATTTTGTGGTTACGCCTTTCTTATGAATGGGAATAAATAGTGCGGTACACCAATCGCTGGGCCATTTACCGATTCTCCATACATGATTGCACAGTCTCCACATTAATTGGATACCATGTTCACCCATGTTCTGTAAAAGTTCTGCCGTGATATTATCGCAACCAGGTGATTTATTTCTTTTAAGGTGTTTTATGGCTTCCTCGACTTCAGACCTTAGAATATCTGGTTCTAGTGTTGTTGCTGAGACTTGCAGTGCTGTTGTATGCTTAATGTTATAGGTTTCAGCTTTATAGAGTTCTGTGCAGTATTTCTTCCAAGTCTCCAGAACTGCATCCATATCGCTTACCATATTGCCTGTCTCATCCTCTATAGCGTAATTTCTGGGTTTGAATTCCCGAGCCAGTAACTTTACTTTCTGAAAGAGATCTCTTGTTTCATTTCGATGTAAGTGGATTTCTACTTCCTGGCAAATGTTAGACACATATTTGTCTTTATCTTTCCGGCAATTTCTTTGGATTTCTCTTGATAAGCTTCGATAGTCGTTTAAATCAAAACTGCCAACTTTAAGTTGCCTTCTTTGTTCTATAATTTTCCATGTTTGGTCACTGATCCATGGTTTACGACTGTTGTTTTTTATGGGTTGGCGACTTTGCTTAGCTGTATCTAATATATCTTTTTTAAAAACTCCCCAGAAAGTCTCGATATTATCTATGGGGGTAGTACTTGTCTCAGTTAACACTGGGTTTATTCTTTCTTTGAAAGTTAAAAGTTCAGTCTCTGTAAGCATGGGAGTTCTAGGAGTGGGCTTGTGTTTGTTTCTAAAACGTATTCGGAATACAGCTACAAGAAGTTGGTGGTCGCTTCCACAATCTGCACCTGGATAAGTTTTTGCGTTAGTGACTGAGGACTTCCACCTTGAATTTATCATTATGAAATCTATCTGATTTCTTGTTCGGTCGCCCGGTGATTTCCAAGTGTAGAGCCTTCGTGGGTGGTGTTGGAAGTAGGTATTCATTACAGACAATTTTCTTTGGCCACAGAACTCTATTAATCTATCGCCTCGTTCATTTCTTTCCCCAAGACCAAAAGGACCCAAGGTGAATCTCATATGATGATCAAGCTGAGTTCTACCAATTTTGGCATTGAAGTCGCCCACTATCACTACAATGTCCTTGTTAGATATTTTGTCGAGTGTTGTCTCCAAAGTTGTGTAAAAATTTTCCACAATTATGTCGTCTGCTGTTGATGTAGGGGCATATACTTGTATAATGTGTAAGACACAAGTTGATCCTAGAATCCTAAGGTGGATGATTCTATCATTAATTGTATCATATCCACAAACAGAGTTTTGGAGTTTTGAAGAAACTATTATTGCGACACCATTTTTACTTTCATTTTCATTGCCCGAGAAATATACGATGTTTCCGGAAATGCTACGAAAGTGTCCTGTCCCCTTCCAGTGGGTTTCACTTATACCAAGAATCGAAACACCATGATCTTTCATTTCTCTCTCGACTATATGTAGTTTTCCAGGATGCTGTACTAAACCTTGTATGTTCCAGGTTCCTATTTTGTGGGTCTTCCGGAAAAACATCTTGTTATAATTGGATGTTCCAGTAGCATATTTCGCACTTGCGACCTGGTCCCCTATCGCATTGTGCCCGGTAGCACATTTCACATCTCCCACCCCGGACGTGGGATAACGCCGATTGTCAATCGGATCGCCTGACTGCACACATATATTCCGTCTATCACTCATATACACAGGGAATTCTCTTAGGAAGAAGTAGTGCAGTGGTTTCCTCTTGCCTTCTGCAAGAGGAAACCATGTAAATGGTATGTACTTACAAATGAAATGAGAGATCGGGATGTAAATATTTCGTTTATTTTATTTTACTTTTCACAAATATCACTCAAAATACAGCCAAAATATCGAAAAATAACTTTTTCCTCATTTACTGTAAAACGTAAACAAACATGGAACAGCATTTGAAGTTAATATAACCAATAAATTATTATTTTGGTTTGATAGCACCTGTAGAGTATAAAATACGGAGTAATATTTTTAGCGACTCGCGAATAAGAAATTTTAAAACAAAACGTGACATCAGTTAAAGGTGCTGAGAATGTGACCTATTCAAATAATTTTGACTTCACAATTTTATGTAAATAACTGAGTCCATCTGTGTTTATACGTCCATGATTGAGTTATTATCCAAAATGTTTGAAGGATCTTCCGAACTCGAACTGTATTCTGCATCAATAAGTTTTGTAACAGGCAAACTACCAAGATTAATTTATTATTTATTACTTAATTTATTACAAGAACGATTAAAAATGTGTAAAACTAACATTATACTTTATCCTATGTATTATAAACTATAAAATATTCGGGGCGAAAAAACGCTTTTCAAAACGTAACAGTTACAATCCAATATCTCACTGTAGTGTTTTATTATAACAATTTGAACTTTGTCTAGATTGATTATCTGTCATTATTTTTGAATTTTAATATTTTCATAAATTGTTATAAAACACAAATAAATGTATGGGTACTTAATTGCGGGTACTTAATTGCGATGATGAAAAATTACAAAATTAATATGAGAATTTTTTAGAATGCATGTTTAAACAAATTTAATGTCACTGAGTGATCAAGAATGCTCGATAAAGTTTTAGTTTTTAGTATACTCTAAACTGTCGGTCTGTCACACAGTCCTGCTTTTAGTTGGATTGATATAATATTTTCGTTGAACTGGCAACTGTGCGCTAGAAATTAGAATGACACATATGACAAGATCAACGTACACAACTTAAAAAACACGATTTTTGATTATAAGAGTTGTACCAGTTTTTTATGACGGGAACAGTACTTTTTTTACAGTTTTTACAGTTTTTACAGGAAAAGAAATATTAGTAAAAATATTCTTTGTTTGGAAATACGATTTATTATGTTATTATGTTGTAAAATAATATTTTCATACCTTTTTGAAATAATTTGGTTTAACTACCTCAAGTTCATGATTATTTAGAAATTTATATTAAGGATAAAAATTAATCTTTTAAATTTAATCTATACGTTTTTCTACTTGCGGCATAAAGTGACATCGCACGCCCACTCTTATAATTTTTAAAAGGGCGACCTTTAAACGATGGTTAAAGAAATAAAAATTTAACAATGGAAGTAAAGGAGATAAAGAAAGAACACAGAAAGTACCGGGAGGAGCTTAATGACCCGAAGGAAGAATTGAAGAAAGTTAAACAAGAAAACCAAATGAAACACAGGAGGAGAAACGAATGAGGAAAGAACAATATGATACGAAATTACGTCTAGAAAGACTAGAAAGGGAAAAAAAAGGTACGTCTTTAATATTACAAAGTTTGTCAATACATACAATTGTTAGAAATATATTTAAACAAGCTGTAGGGAAGATCATAAAAAAAGAAATGAACATGGATGTTCAAATAGCAGGAGCAATTAAACTGGCGAAAAAACATATTTGGTCAAACTACAGAACAAGCTTAAAAAGGATAAGGTTGTGAAAAATAAACAAAAAGTAAAACACGTACATGACTACAAAGATCATACAAGTAATGACATAATAAAAGACTACAAATGCAGACAAAAATAAGACAAGTCGCCAACGAAGAAATAAATAAGAATAAAATTGGTATTTTAATGAAAAATAAATAGACGCAAGAAAGGACATTTTCATATGAGCATGTAATGTAAGAATCCTTTATGAAACTGGCAAATTGGAATAAGGAAAAAGCGAAGGAAGATGAAGAAAATCTTTGAATGAATAATCTTTATTTAACTAAAAATTAGCCATGACTATTATCTCTTTAAAACGTGTAACGTTACATAATTCATCCACGACGCATATAGAAAATCAGGAGAAAAAATTTACAAAACAAATATAATTATTCTTAAAATATTATCATAAATTTTTACAAAAATTATTTTTGCGATTGGTCTTTTTCTTACCACAGCAGCGCCTACTGGTGTTACAATTCTCGGATCAATAGTACCGGTGCCTGACGTCGGACATGTAGTTCCTGTTGGAAGACATAAATAGTACTGACCATTTACCATACCAGATGTAGCCTGACCGTATGTTGGATCTATAACAAGATTGTTAGTACATAAAAAAATAATATAAAAAAATAATTTCTTAATTATGTATCCCAAAGTACCTCTTATTGACGAATTTACAATACAACAATACAAGTTCGGAGCAGTTTTTAAATCAAAGATCTTTGTCATCATCATCATCATCATCATCCTCTCATCGTGATCCACTGCGGTCAGACTCTGATTTTTTGTCTACGTGGGGTCTTTAATTTATTAGTTTTAAAGAACACCTGTTATCTTTAAATCCTATAACAAGGTTTGCCCATTTTTTATTTTGGTATCGTAGTTCGTTACATTATGTCTTGTACTTTTGTTCTTTACCAGATGTAAGTATTTCTTAAGTTCGAATTTCAGGAACAGCTCCCTTTATTTTTCTTTAAGCGACCTTCAATTTATGCACACTACTAACTGTCAATGTAAACATTTAAGAACCATAAGTGACTAATGACAATTCACGTTCAACGTATACTTCCTTTTTTTAAGTATATTGGTCTACTACTATTAAATTCCCTTTCCTTATGCAGCCCATGCTCTACTAATTTTTCTTTGTAATTTCGATGTATGATTGAATCCATTTATTCTAGTTGCATCTGCTATACTTATCGATGTCAATAATTTTGTTCTCTGGAAATTTAATGTATACACAAGTTAAATTTTTTGCTGTCCACTAGAGCTGTAGAGTGTATTGTTAATTTCCTTTTCTTCAACATAAAACGAGAACCAAAATCTAAGTGGTCGATTATGAAAGAGTCCGATAAATAATCTTCGTTGAAGCAAGATATGGTTTAATGTTAGAGAAATATTGTAGACTGAGAGTTTAAATAAATAAAATAAATAAATAAATAAAAATAAATAAATAAAAACAAATACAGCTAATTTTGCAAACACTTTCATTAAAAAAAAATTGAAAATATATGAGTTTAAATGACTACTTTACTATGTCGAGTATGTACTTTTAATACTGTTACAAAATGAGTCATATTAAAATAAAACCTGTTGTTTACTTAATATTATGTTCTAGATTTGACGATCTAAATCTACCTGACGCATCAATGGGTCACCCTTCATTCTCCGACGAGTCGAACTTTCGAGGCTGCTATAAAAAACCCAGTCTGACCGCATGGCGATCGAGTTTATTCCGGAAGGTGACTACCCGCTTCTAGATAACGGTATTTGGATATAAATACATAGAAATTTTATGTAAGGAGTTAGTTAGTCATAAGAAGATCGGGAAACGCGATTTAATTGTAACGAAACGTAACATAAATAGTTGTAAAGTTAATTAATAAATTAGTAATTAGTTATCGTGAGTTTTAATAAATTAGAATATAGACAATAAATTGGAATAAAGACAAATAAATTAGAACTATATAAATATACTACAATACGTAAAGAGAGCGAGCGAGGTGTGTACTAAGACTAGAGAATTCTATTACTACGGACTTGACTTACTGCAAGAAATAAGCAGGAATATGATTGAACTATTAGGATTGAACTAAGGTGGCCTGTTACAGGAAAACTAGAAATTGGTGACCGTGTTATCTCCTACTTCCCTGTAGGAGAAAATAGCTGTCCTCAAGAATATGGCGTCGCCATACACAAAAGTATTGCTAAATCTTTAGAAAACTTCACCCTATACTTCGAAAGGATAGCGCTACTACAACTTAAATATAACGCTATACTTAATTTAATACAGATACATACACCCACGGCAGACAAAGAAGAGAATGAGGTAGAAAAATCTCAAAAAGCCTCAAGAAACAGCACATCAATATTATACTAAGGTATTTTAATGCAAAAATTGGCAAAAAAAATCGTTGATATCTTCGATATACTCTTGTTTAAATTACCTCCCAGGCGATCTAAATATGAAACTCACCTCATTTAAAGAGATTTAAATCAAGTATCGAAAGTTAAACCTACCGAGGTATGGAAGTCGGATTAGACCACAATTCAGTCGTTATCATTCTCAGGACAAAACTAGAAACAATACGCCGAAATATTCCAAAGAAATGCATTATTGAAATACTTCGAAACGAAGCTAATAAAGAAAAAGTAGCAGCCAAACTTGACGATCTAAAGATAAAGACCTGAAAAAACAATCATAACAAGAGAGAAGGAAATGAAAATATATGGTAAATCATAAAAAATACGAAAGTGGCAGAACAAAGAGAAGAACTAAAGAATACGAAAAGTAAGAAACAGAAAAATGGATGACACAAGATATTTTGGAACTCATGGAAGACGGACGGAAAAACAAAAGCATAACACAAAAAAGGAAAATAAAAGTGGATAAATCAAATGTGTGGTGAAATAGAAAACCAAGATAGCATGTATACAATAAAAACATGACAGCAATAAAAAATATAGAAATGATACACTCAACCTCTACAAAAAATTAAAATTAACCTTTAGTAATAATAAAACTATAATATACCCACTGTACTTCACAACAAAGGAAATAATTGTAGAAAAAAATGAAAAATTCAAGTATGGAAGAACTTTATCGAAAAATTCTTTCGAATCGAATTGATAAAAAGTGTAAAATAGACATAAATGACTCGCAGTTCGGATTAAGACAGACCTTGTGAAGAAGAGATGGGCTGTTTAAGACTCAAACACTCGTTTAAAAATGCCTTGACCCCCATAAAATCACCACCATATCTTTTTCATCGACTACTAGAAGGCTTTTGATAGAGGCCAGGATTAAAACTTGTATTAACTTAAATGTCCATAAAAGTCTCGATAAAAGGGTAAAGAATTCTCTAGAAAACGTCAATATAAGAAAGTTAACCCTATTTGCGAGATAGACTATTCGAGAACATTCATATATCTAGTAAATAGAACAAATTCGAATATGATTGCTTTCAAGAAAATTCGGGAACGATGAAATGATATAAATACGATGTAGTTTGGAGTTAGAGTTGGACAGTATTACGTTAGACAGTATGAGAGTAAATTAAGAAAGTTAACAGTTACAGTAAGACAGTATGGACTTAGTTAATTAAGAAGTTAAATAGGAGACAGTTCGACAGTTAGTAAGTAAATTTATTAAGAAGTTAGTCAGTCAGTAAATAGTACAAGCAGTTCATAGTATATAGTATACAGTGATCACTATTAGAGTATTAATTATAGAGTACAGTATGTATATGGAGATTGGAGATTAGAAGAATTTAAAATTATAATATTTATATAGTGATTGGAGATTGAAAACAAAAAAAGGTTATTAAAAAGAAAGATAAACACGAAAGAAGAACAAAAGAACAATTAAGAAAGAAGAATATTTTGCTCATTTATAAATGCTATTAAGAAGAAAAATATTTTAAATTGGTGGAAGCTGATAATTAAAACATTGTGGTATATTTGGAAAAAGGAATTTCACAAAAACAAGGATAATCGAGTCTGATAAAAAGATATTGAGTATTGATGATACCCTTTATTTTGGAAAACAGTTTCATTTAGGCATTCAGTGATAGAAAGGTACCAAATGTTGTTAATATAATTAACAAAATTATTGATTGTATTACTATATTATTAATTATTGTAAGAATTTTAAATTTAAGATAGGTTGTTCTAAATTTATATTGTCTATATTAGATATATATGTGTGTTTCATAATAGTTATAATAAAGATAATTTAAAAAAGTACTTACAAACTAATTCTTTGAGAACCGCGATAAAAATCCTATACTTATATATGTTATTTTAAATACTCATTGCTCATACACAAACACAAAACATCATAGCAATATATAATATATACATAATATTACAGGATCCAACTTGTAAATACAATACATTTTGGAGACGGCTATCGCCGTATTCCCATTCTCCTCCGCCAATCCTCCAGGTCCAAGGCATGCTCCTCCTCCAAACCTCTCGATTTCATCGCTTTTCTAATTACTTCATTCTATAAGCGTCGAGGTCTACCTCTTTTTCTTCTTCCACGGGGATTCCGTCTGTGAAGTTTTTGGGACCAACGTTCGTCAGGCATTCTCAGTAGGTGTCCAAAACCACTTTAAACCTCTTCTTTCTATTCTGTCAATGACCGTTTTTGTAGTATTCATGTTATTTCTTATAGATTCGTTGTTCTTTTTTTCCAGCCTTGATGTTCTAGCACTTCTTTTCAAATAATCTATTTCAACTGCCAACACTCTTCTCTTCAGGTCTGCATTAATTGTCCATACTTCAGAGCCATAACAAAGAACTGATTCAACCATGGTTTGCCGTATTCTTTTTTTGTTCATTTTGGAAATGTTGCTATCCCACTATCTCGGTGTTTAATTTCGGTTTCTCCCAAGCCGTTCTTATCAATGAGTGCACCTAAATATTTAAATTATTCCACTTGTTTAATTTCCACGTCCTCGTCTATCAACACTTCAAACCTTGCATCTAAATTGGTAACTAAATATTTTGTTCTCTTCATGCTGACTTGTAACCCCTCTTTTACATACTCTCTGTATAGATGCTTTATCATAAATTCTATGTCATAAGAATCTTGAGCTAGGACGACTTGGTCATACGCAAAGTTCAGGGAGAAGAGTACTTCATTTCCTATGGGGATTCCCATTCGCTGGCAGTGGTTTTTCCAATTTTGGAGGGCTGCCTTAATATATAAATTAAACAGTAAGGGTGACTGCATACTTGTCTTAGTCCTGTAGTTACTTTTATTGGCTCTGATAGTCTATTTCCGATTTTTAGATAAGTAGTTTTATCCCTGTATACTTCTGTAAATATTCCTAAAAGGTATTGACTCATGCCAAGTTGTAAAGCTTTCCACAATTTAAGTCTTGGAACTGTATCATATGCCTTTTCTACGTCGGCGGATGTACTTCGGTATAAGCCGCTATTCTTTTTTCTATTAATTGTTAGAGTATTTACATCATCTTATATTTTTCTATTTATTATCTTTCCAAATAATCTCTCGAAAGTATGTAGGACACTTAATCCTCTGTAGCAGCTAGCATCTTTTTGATTATTCTTTTTAAAC